ATATATACTGTATGTATATACCTATATACAACCAGGTGGCATGAGAGAGTGTGTGTTGTGTTTCAGGTGGAGGCGGAGGCGGTTTATCGAGCCATCACCATTGCCAAACAAGCCAACTGTCCACTTTACGTTACCAAGGTCATGAGCAAATCTGCAGCTGATGTCATCGCTAAATCCAGGAAGAAAGGTGACATCATCCTTGTCTATTTTTCATCCTGCGTTCTAATCCAGATTTGGTTGGAACAGTTTCTGTTATCTTTTAAAAATCGGTCTGTGAGCTCTATAGATTTCAGCATCTCAGGATGAATATGACCCACACCTGGTCAAGGTGGGAGTTAATCCTGACCTTAACCTGCAGAACTTTTCAACATGAAAGAGAAAAGTTGACCTTGACTCTTCCAGCTCTGCCAAACCCTTGGTTTCTCTGGTCACCTCTGACCTTTGGCCAAAAGTCAGGGCAGACCCAGTCAAGGCCTTTAACACAAAGCACTTTTTTCTCAGTATCTTCAGCCTCCACTGATGCAGGAAAACCTCCGCCAGAGCTGAAATTCAAAAGTGTAGTCTGTAGGATTTAATCTTCTAGAAGATTAAAGAGCACAATCTGTTTGCTGGAGTTTAATTCCAGACCTGATGTAGTGAATAAAAGATGAGCTCACCTAAGTCGAGTTGTTTCTCCTTCCCCACCAGAGATGTTATGTTCTTCATTCCAGGGCCACTTTATAATGCCAGAGCTCAGCGTTTCTAGGTCTGGGTCTTTGTCTGCTCGCTGTCTGAATGACATCACTTCCTGTCAGTGAGGGCCCAAAGAAAAAGATTAAGACCTGTGGTACCATATTACTTCTTGGACCAAGGCCACCAGATGGTTGTTGCAGAGGCAGAGATGGGTTCTTATTTGTCGTCTTTGAATAGCTCTTGGTCGGGTGCCTCACCAAGGAGTGAAACTCCAGCAGAGACACACAAAAACCTATTCCATGGGTTGAACATAAAGTCTTCTCCTCTTTCTGCCCTCAGGTATAGTGGTTTATGGGGAACCAATTACAGCCAGTTTGGCCACTGATGGCTCTCACTATTGGTCCAAAGACTGGGCCACAGCTGCTGCCTTCGTCATGAGCCCACCCGTCAACCCTGACCCCACAACTCCACAGTACTTGACTTCTCTGCTGGCGTGGTGAGTAAAACTCCACCTTTTTTTAGGGTTACGATTAGGGTATGATGGTTAGCATCACTCAACCTGATCTGCCTCGAAGTCATCTATTTGGAGAATACAGTGTTATGAGCTCTTTGATATATGAGGGGTCTTGATTGTTAAGGGCTTTATATGTGAGGAGCAGGATCTTCATATTCTGGATTTTACAGGGAGCCAATGTAGAGAAGCTCAGACAGGAGTAATATGATCTTTCCTTCTAGTTCCTGTCAGCACTCTGCTGCAGCACTTTGGACCAACTGGAGACGTTTTACAGTCTTCCTGTGACACCCTGATAATAAAGAGTTACAGTAATCTAGTCTAGAGAACAAATGGACGAGTTTCTCAGCGTCCTTCTGAGACAAGATGTTTCTCATGCTCATAATATTGTGCAGGTGGAAGAAAGCTGTCCTAGAGACTTGTTTTATATGTTGGTCAAATGTCCTGGTCGAATATAACTCAAGGTTCCTCACAGTGGAGCTGGAGGACATCTGAGTAACTACATGATCAGATAAAAGTGTTAAGGACAACTAAACCTGTTGTATGTAGTCTGGTAATTAAGATAAAATTATCTGATTTCATATTTAACACTTAACCTATAAAGCTTATAAATTCATCCTGAGAGTAAAAGGTGGTTCAGTAAAAACAGTGATGAAGGCCAATCTGAGCTTCTTCCTGATTATCAGTAATCAAGGTTCTCTTTAGATTTAAACATCTTTCTATTTACAATGTTTTTAAAGAGGAGTGTGAAGTGTCTCAATCAACAACACCATCAACTTGTGTGCCAGTAACACTGAGGTAGTGTGGACACCTTCCACCTCAACAGTCCAGATGCAGCAGGTGAACCTGACACAAGTTTTTGTGTTGTTAGTGGTGACCTCCAGGTGACCTCCAGTGCTCATGCCAGTTTCTCTACGGCTCAGAAAGCCATCGGAAAAGACAACTTCACTTTGATTCCAGAGGGAACCAATGGGATTGAGGAGAGGATGTCGGTGGTCTGGGACAGAGCTGTGGTAAGATAATCTGACCTTTGACCTTTGACCCTGCGCTGACCCGTATACCGACCTATATGCAGGTTGAATTCCACTCATAACCAACAAATCATCAAACATGGAACATTTGACATGAATCTATGAAATGTATTCAGAGGATTTCTCCAGGAGAACATTGTGTTGGCATTTTGTTCTTCTGTCTCTCTATAGTCGTCAGGGAAGATGGATGAAAATGAGTTTGTTGCAGTTACCAGCACCAATGCAGCTAAACTCTTCAATATTTACCCCAAAAAAGGTATTTCATTTGTCAGTTACAATTTAGAGATGGTAATGAATCTTTGTTTTCACTGTTACTTACTTTAAACCTTTTTATTCAGGATGAGACCTTGACTTAACTCTTACTGATGCATCTGTGTGTTCAGGACGCATCGCTGTAGGTTCTGATGCTGACATTGTCGTATGGAACCCGAAGGAGACACGAACTGTTTCTGCAAAGACTCACAACCTGGTACCAATATCAGTACGATCAACTAATGACAATAATGATCAGTCATGATGAAGTGATCCTCCCTCACATGTTGCCTGTGTGTACAGACAGTGGAAGTGAACATCCTGGAAGGTTTGGAGTTTCGAGGCGTGGCATCTGTGGTGATCAGTGGAGGTCGAGTTGTTATTGAGGATGGAAAACTTAACGTGATTGAAGGTTCTGGACGATTTGTCCCCAGGAAGGCTTTCCCTGATGCTGTCTACAAGAGGATCAGAGCCCGCAGCAAGGTAAACAACTAAGTATACAGCTCAGTGATTCTCAAGTGGTTGCGTGCACCAGCTGGTTGGTCGAGAAATGAAGGATGAGAAGAAACTACTGACCAAGTTAACCAACCTTAGCAGCTGGTCAGGTGGTTAACCAGATAACTAGTGAATGGGTCAATCAGTCAACTGATTCATCAGGTAGTTTTTTCAGTTTTTCTCTCTTTGTCTCAGATGGCAGAGACTCGTGGAGTTCCCCGAGGAAACTATGATGGTCCGGTTCATGATGTCATCAGCATGACTAAATCAGTCCCGCCCACTCCGACCAGCAGAGGGCCCGTCTGTCCGAAAACCCAGACTGCCCCCCGAAACCTCCACCAGTCAGGATTCACGCTAGCTGGTAGGAGGGAACAAGTCTGCAGCATGTGGATCAGTAGTCTGATCAAACAAAAGCGACTGACCCTGAAGTGCATTCAGGGAAATTTAATTTACAGTTAAGTGCTAGAGGTGAAGGAGAAGAGGATGATAATTGATGAGTTATGAACAGCATCGCTTCTTCTCTTCCAGGAGCTCAGATTGACGACCACATACCTCGTCGCTCTGCTCAGAAGATTGTGGCGCCTCCTGGTGGACGATCCAACATCACATCTTTATCTTGAAACAACAACTTCACTTTTACTTCAAGATACAACTAGACCTACTGCAGCCGTACAAATCTTACAACTATATAGCTGGGCCTTAGTATCACTTCAATTATGATGGAACTTCCTTATAATTCTGAAACAAAAATATTTGAACTAGTTCTAAATCCGATAATAACCTCAAAGGTAACGTTAAACTCTGCATCCTTTCAAAACCTACAAGTACACAAACAGAAGTAAATCCCTACAACTGAAGTACTTTAAGAAATACTTTTCCCAAACAACAACCAGACAACTATTTAAAAAAAAACTATCGCTAAATCCTACAGCTACGATCCTTCAACAGTCGTAGAACTGAATGTTACAACAATTACAACTCAACAACTAGGACTAAACTGTAGAGCTAACACTTCATCTTATAACAGTCAATCAGTAGAACAGAATACTATGACTTCAGAAAAAAAAAACTTCAACCTCCAAACACACAACAATAAGTAATATAACTTGCAATTAGAATGCTTGGTTATGTTGTCGCCTTGGTTCTCCGAAGTACTTGGATATTTCTTTAAGACACACCTGCCTGCCTGGCCACGGCCTTCAGTTTATCTGTAAAACACCAATGTTGACGTGGAACCAGTTTATAGTACAATTACTACGACAACCTATGATTAGTGCTACACCCTACTGCTAGACCCTGCAACTAGTACTACACCCTTACAAAAGTACTACAGCCTTCAACCAGTATTACACCCTACAAAAAATAATAAATCCTACAACTAGTACTACACTTTACAGCTAGTACTATATCACACAACTCGTTCTACATCCTACAGCTAGTATTATGTCCTACAAATAGAACTACACCCTAATCCTTCAAACAGAACTTTGTGTTTTTTGATAAATTTCTTTAAATGAGAACTCTAACAATACTTCCTCTCATCTTGGGTTAGGGTTAGAAAGTAACTGTAATATTAGTATTAATATTAGTAAAAATGATATTAGTAGAAGTAAAAAGCCTGGACATTCCTGTTGTTTCTTTTTCATTCATTTAACTTCATCATCAGAAAAATGATCAGAACAGTTTCACATTGTGGATTTTAAACGTTATTTAACTGCGATTACTCTGTTACCTGCAGTGGTTGTTTGTCCAGATGTTTCAGTCTCATTTATGTTTGATTAGTTCAGTTATTTCACTGTGAGACATTTAAAATAATCTGTGGTGACGTCCTCAGTCCTGTCAGTGTTTCTATTGGTTGGACTGACTCCAGGTTCTTTGTCCCAACAGGGTGAACCCAGTACCTATTTTTTTTTTTTGAACTAATCAGTTTTAATAACATTAGACATCATGTGACTGGAAATGGTGCTAATAACTCCAGTGATACTTGCTACCGTTAAGAGAAATCCCTTCGAAGCCATGCCCCTTTATGATTAAAACATGACATCATAAAATGACTCCACCCCCAGAAGAATCCAAAACAAATGAATATCTTCACCCCCCCCCACAAGCCAAACTTTTTAACTATGGTTGAAGCAACTAAAGTAATTATTGACCACAGACCATGGCTAGTGTTCGACGTTGACCTCTGACCCCTAACCACTGACTTCTTTGACCTCTGACCTCTGAAGGGATTTTTTTACAGTGTGTTTGTTTTGTTGAACACTTCATTTTATAACATGATCATTTTGTAATTTTCTACAGTGTTTGCATCCTGCAGTGTTAGCATCAGTTGTCGTTGTCATAGTCATAGTCATAGTGTTGCCATGTTGTAGCTATGGTAACAATAACTTGTTTTGGCCAACATTTCTGTAAATGCTGTTCTTCCTAGGAGATGTTCAGACAGATGTTTGAACAGAACAGCTAGATAAGAGATAAAACAGTGAAACAGCTGGATTAGAATTAAAAAAGGAGAACAGATGGATTACAATTGAAACAGGGGAACAGCTGGATTAGAGATAAAAAAAGAACAGCTGGATTAGCATTAAAACAGGAGAACAGCTGGATGTGGCTCCAACATGGCGGGGTTTTCTTGTAGGCTGATGTTTTTCTGTCCTCACAGATACACTGAAGCCAAAAGAACGCCTTCTCCCTTTAAACAATGATTATTGGCATATCTGTCGTTGTGGACGTAAAGAGGGGTTACCATGGTGATTGCTTTATATCTGTTGTGTAGTGATTGTGAAACGACTTCCATTTGTGATGAGTGTTGCATGAATAAACTGGAGAGTAAAAACCTCAGAGTGATGCGTCTGTTTTTATCCCTAACCCTAAGCATCTGTGTTGATTCCATTGTAATGATAATAATCCCTGTTCATTGTTTGTTCTGTAGCTCCTCAGTTTTATTACAATCAGCAACATGTTTGCACTTTTAAGT